TTGCCTTTTCGTTCTATGTTATGATTTGCCTGCGTTTTGTACGTGGTTTCTGTTTTTATATTTTCAATTTTTCCGTATCGCATGAGCTGAAACTTATCCTCGTTGAATACCATATTATTTTCTGTGGCCCATAGAAAGACCTGATCTACATCTGATTGGAGGTTTGCCGTGTCCTCTATGTTGCCAACTCTCATGAAAATCCTAGTGTCATCTGCAAAGGATGATACAGTGCTATAGGTTGTGTTCTGGTCTATGTCCGATATGAGGATGAGAAAAAGTACTGGAGCAAGCACAGTACCCTGGGGGACTGAGCTCTTCACGGTTGATGGGCTGGATTTTATTTTGTTGACTATTACACATTGGGTTCTGTCAGTCAGGAAATTGTAGATCCATCTGCCTATTTTCCCGGTAATTCCTTTTGAACGCATTTTATGTGCAATAACACCATGGTCACATTTATCAAAAGCTTTTGCGAAATCTGTGTAAATTACATCAGCGTTTTGTTTGTCTTCCATAGCATCTAATGCCATATCATAGTGGTCCAGCAATATCCACCTCAGTGGATAATTTTACTCTCCTTCTCTCTCTCTCTCTCTCTCTCTCTCTCTCTCTCTCTCTCTCTCTCTCTCTCTCTCCCTCTCTCCCTCTCTCCCTCTCTCTCTCTCTCTCTCTCTCTCTGTCTCTCTCTCTCTCTCTCTCTCTCTCTCTCTCTCTCTCTCTCTCTCTCTCTCTCTCTCTCTCTCTCTCTCTCTCTCTCTCTCTCTCTCTCTCTCTCTCTCTCTCTCTCTCTCTCTCTCTCTCTCTCTCTCTCACTCTCTCTCTCTCTCTCTCTCTCTCTCTCCCTCTCTCTCTCTCTCTCTCTCTCTCTCTCTCTCTCTCTCTCTCTCTCTCTCTCTCTCTCTCTCTCTCTCTCTCTCTCTCTCTCTCTCTCTCTCTCTCTCTCTCTCTCTCTCTCTCTCTCTCTCTCTCTCTCTCTCTCTCTCTCTCTCTCTCTCTCTCTCTCTCTCTCTCTCTCTCTCTCTCTCTCTCTCTCTCTCTCTCTCTCTCTCTCTCTCTCTCTCTCTCTCTCTCTCTCCCTCTCTCTCTCTCTCCCTCTCTCCCTCTCTCTCTCTCTCTCTCTCTCCTCCCTCTCTCTCTCTCTCTCTCTCTCTCTCTCTCTCTCTCTCTCTCTCTCTCTCTCTCTCTCTCTCTCTCTCTCTCTCTCTCTCTCTCTCTCTCAGAGCATCCCCTTATGTGTTGTATGTGGGTGCTGAAGTTCAGTCTCTTGTCTATGTATAGGTGAAGGAACTTTCCATAATTGTTATTGCTAATGTTTACTTGTAATACTGGGTATACATCCGGTGTTCTTACCCTCGACCGCGGCGAGGGTAAGCCGTGGCCGTATGGTCTGAAACCCACAAATATTTACAATGGGGGGTGGGGGGGGGGATAACATTTCCTCTTCAAGCACGCGCACACAAATGAACTATGTTACTTAACTGGAAGCACTCGTACAACATAATTTACACGATTTCTCAGGATAATTATACTTCTTACCAGCATATATACAGTATAGTACCTAGGAGGTTCTCTTCAATGATATCTAAGATAATTAAATGAACCCAAGCAAACCACTGTGGAAATGTGCAGGACAAACATATCAATTGTGACACTAGCTCTCCACTTATGGCATTTGCTTAATTTAGAAACTGTACTTGTGGTCGATCTCGAACCCATGTTGTTGATGTGACGATGTGTTATGAATTTTGTGGCTAGCTCCTCAAGATTGTAACTTGCTTAGATAAATAAATTGTGTGTTCAGTCCCTGAACCCATTATGTGATAAATTAACTAAACTAAAAACTATAGTCTGGCGACGAAGCCTGAACTGCATAATGTAAATAGGGATTAACCAGAAAAAGATATAGGTGAAGAATAACATCAGGTAACTGCGTTAATTACAATATTAGATCAAACTAACATTGATTTTCAAAAGGTTGTATATTTTCCATCAATGGAGAGCATCAGCCAAGAAGCCTTCTTTAAAATATGAATATCTTTCCTCACCCAATAAGATCTAATCTCTGAATAAAACGCAAAAAAAACGACTTGATTGTAACCTATCCACCGCTTCCCATTGGATGGGGGAGAGGGGGTTATGTGTAGGATAAACAAATCAATTGTGACACTAGCCCTCCATATATGTCAGTTGCTTAAATTATAAACTGTACTTGTGGTCGGTCTCGAGCCCATTGTTGATGTGACAATGTGCATTGACTTTTGTAACTAACTTATCAAGATTATAACTTGCTTGGCTATATGAATTGTTGGGCTCATTCCCTGAGCCCATTATGCGCCTCTGTAACACTCCACTATCGCCCATAGGATGGGTATGGGGTGCATAATAAATGAACTAAAATAAGCTCTGCCTTTTTGATAACATATACAATTATAAGCTTTATTTGTGAATCTCAATTAATTAAGCAATATATCACAGAGCCTGTAGGGTTCGGTGAGATGAGCGAAGAGACATGGGAGATTTCACATAAGTACAGTACATGGTAGTTTAAGTAGCGAACGCATGTCAACGAATAACGAGTATATATAACAACACTATTGTCCTATGAAGTCGATTTAACTTCCAAACATATATTTTTAATAAATGTTAAATGTTTTCTGGCTAGCTATGTTAGATTTTATTAAAAATACGTATTCTACTTGTTAACATTATAATTTAAATTTGTGATAATTTGTGCAGAGAAGTGCGACAACTGGATATGCCAACAAACACTTTCCAAACAACGATATATCTTGGATAAGTCGTTCCACAACATTGACGCTTGGACCGTCGACTTCCTTTGATGCTACTTATTTACTTATTTCATAATGAAATTATATTAGTTTGGAGTAAATATATGTTTTCTCATGTTCTGCATTCAGCACCCACATTATAGTAAATATACCATATTACTTCATTACTTAAATAATGCTAGGAGGGTTTGAGTAGCTTTGGGTCTTTAGTGGACAGAATCTCCAATAGATCGGGCGAGAGTCGCTCCCTCTCTCTCGCCCGAGCAAGAGTCGAAACTTAATTTAAAATTGATATATCTTTGTTCTCGAACATGATATATTTCATTTGGTGAAATCATAATAATGTTCATATCTCGGTCTTTCTGGAGGCATATAAGATTTTAGGCTTTATTAGCGTATCTTTGATAATTATACAATATATCGGCAAGTGCGTAGGCGTCTGCACTCCATGCCCGACAAGCTACTGAGCGCTACTATAAAAACATATGTATCTTCACTTGAGCTATAAATATGTCTATTGTAATGTATTGAAAATGAAGCTCTTATTTCTATCTTGCTTAAGACATATAAAACATTTGTGTTTATTAACGAATTTACGTGAAATAAACATTGATCTGAGAGAGAGTTGCTCTGTCGTTCAGTCTGTACGGGGTGGGAGCTCCGTAATTATTAAAATACATGTATCTTCATTAGAACTTTAAATATGTCTATAGTAAAGTGTTTAAAGTGAAGCTTATATGTCTGCCTTTCTTGAGACATATAAAACATATATGTTTATTAACGAATTCACGTGAAATAAACATTGTTCTGAGAGAGAGTTGCTCGGTCGATCAATCTGTCCGGGGTTAAAGCTCGGCTATTATAAAAGTACACGTATCTTCGCTTTAAATTTAAATATGCCCATGGTAAGGTATTTAGAATGAAGCTTATATTTCTATCTTTCTTGTGACATATAAAACTCTTACGTTTATTAAGGAATCTGTGTGAAATAGGCATGGTTCTGAGATGAATGCTGCGGTTTTCGAGCTCGACGCGCGGCAATGGACGCCTTAAACATCCAGTGGGTATTATTGGACCCTATACCATTTTATTTGTGGTTGGAGCCCCATACCCATTCTATGGGTGGTTGGAGCCCCATACCCATCCTGTGGGTTGTAGTGGACGCCATACTCATCCTGTGGGTGGTATTGGACCCCATACCCTTCCTGTGGGTGGATGTGATCCCCATACTCATCCTGTGGGTGGATGTGACCCTCATACCCATCCTGTGGGTGGTATTGGACCCCTTTCCCACCTAACAGGCGGTAGGTGACAATATACCCATCCTAGCTATAGTTGGTATAGTAGACACAATACCGTCCTGTTTGCAGTAGTTTACCCCATAGACATTCAAATGTAACATCGTTTTCTGTTAGCGTTCCTACAAAACATTCTTTAAAGATTTTTAAAGCCAAACTATGGTATATAATATTGATTGGTGAAGCACTGTTATTCTATGTAATAATTTATAGTGCTTATTATAATTTACTAAGAACAACTAATATTTCTCAAAACAAAACTACGAGCCTTCAATAGGATATAGCTGATCTGTAATATTATAAGAGCATGGACAACAGTAGGTAAATTTCACAACCCATATGGGACCTGAAAACTACAATTTTCCTTATAATTGAACCAATCACGAATATTCTGCTATCTATGTTGACGGACGGGTACTGTGACACGTAAATTGGTACGTGAGGAAGAGTTTGGGCCTTGGTAAAAAAAGTAACTGGGAATATATCACATATTTACTAATTCATATTCAACATATTGACTTTAAGCATTAAGTCATATATGTGCTGTCTTGTGTGAGAACGGGTTGAAGTCTCTGGTACCTATTTACTGCTAGGTGAATAGGTGCATCAGGGTGAAAGAAACAATGCCCATTTGTTTCCGCCTCCGCCGGGGATCAAACTTGGGCCCTTAAGACTATGACTCCAGAGCACTGTCCACTCAGCTGATAAGGATTATCCACTCAGCAGATAAAGTGATGCCATGTGACATAGTATTTTATGTGTGTTACTTCTTCTTGTATAGCTTCCTGTTCCATATGCATTTTTCAGTTTGGTATAATCACTTTAGCTTCTACTCTATTTCTTCAGTGTCCCTGTTAATATTTACTAAATGAGAACTGGATTATAAAATAATTTATTTGTCTTATCTTCTCAGTTATGGTATTTCTTGGGACACTGACAAGTCGCAGCTTTGAGGCAGACAGCAGCCACCAGGGAGGTAAACAGTAAGCAGAAGTCAACTGGGAAATCCTCATTCAAAACTATCAAACAAGTTCCCATTTTTAGCCACAAATCCAAATTTGTACAAAGCAGACAGTAATCAAGACAAATCTCTGATGAAGACAACGACCTTTTTGGATATAGCAAACAATACATTAAAGAGGTAGACAGCATCTGTCATCGAAACAAATTTAGTTTTCAGGATATTAATGTGTGGCTCTAAGGCAGGTAACACTTGTAAGTAACACTTAGCAGGCTGGCCTGCTAAGTGTTACTCATTTCTGTCTTGGGCTGTGAATGACTATTTAAGACTTGTATGTTGGACTCTGAAAGATTATAGCCAACAACTTCTGCATTGTTAAATCTCAGATAAAATTAAGTTTTGTTGGTAACTTTGCATTGAGTTATATTATGAAACAGTGGTTTGGTATATCTCCTTAATACTAACATTTCCTCTCTTCATCCGGAACTTATAAGCTCATGCACATGAGCCTGATGCAGGGTATTGAAGCCTGATGCAGTTGCAGCTACTCCCTTATGGTTGCTATTAATCTTTTGTATTGTTGTGTGTCTAATTATTTCTTAATCTGTGATAAACTGTGGTATATGTTAACCAAACCACACACTAGAAGATGAAAAGACGACGACGTTTTGGTCCGTCTTGGACCATTATGAAGGGTCATTTGTTACTGTGTCAAGTCTGTGGTATGTAATTATCTACATTCCTTTTCTTAGTTGCAAGTTTTCCAGCAGCGTCTATAATGTCATTCCTTGGTACTCATACATGGCTTGGCACCCAGTGGTAAATATTTGACAACTTTGTCGTTTGAATTATTGCCATAGCATTTGTGAGTAGATGTTGTCTTGGAAGTGATCTTGCTGCAGGGTTTGAATGGTATTCTCAAATCTGTATTAATGATAACATGTCCTAGAATGCACCAAGTGACCAAAGTTCACATGCCTGAAAGCAAAAGACAATCGACTTGAGAATGGTCCAGGACGGACCGAAACGTCGTCATCCCTTCACCTTCTAGTGTGTGGTCTGGTCAACATACTTTAGCCACATTGTGACTCATCACCTGCATATGCCTGAAAGCACTTTTCCAAATCATATAATTATTGGCCAGAGCCTCCAACCATTAACCACCGTGCTGTGCTGCCTTAAAATATGACATTCCCACTGTGCACATACACAAAATTCTTTGCAAAAAACCAGCGTTGAACGTAATGAAACACCATTTTATGGGTGAGACCCGGAGGCTCCCTGGAGTTATACCGGGCTGATGTGCATATATTAGACCATGGCAACAGTCAATCAATAGCGTTCTAGGCCTTCCGGGGACCAGAGCCAGAACCTGGCCCCCCTCAAGAAGAGGCACGAGGAGCAATGGCCTAAAGACACCCCCGTGCAATTGGAAGCAATCTTTGTCTGCCATCTACCAGGCCAGGCACCCAGAAAGGTAGGAATTCCAAAACAGAGTACTGCTGGTCAAAAATTGCAAACTGAAATCTGAACTTGCAAGCAGAACTCTCCATTAAAAAACTAGCAAACAAGCATGACATCACTCTCGTTACACGCTGGCTACTCTACTCAGTTCAGAGGCTGAATATCAAAAACACACAAAAAAACGGCAACTGGAGGGAGGAAGGGATGCCGAGGAGCTTCTGGGTCTTGCCCAGAAAATAGCATTTCATTACATTCAACGCTGGTTTTCTGTGGATAGCCACTTCGGCTCTGTGGAGCTACCTAACCAAAGATAAAGAAGAAAAGGGAATTACCTGGGAGGCGGTTGTCACTCGCTCCTCAACTCAAAGTCGAGACAACTAGCTGTAACCTGTGACCCAAGGCTACACACACCCGAGAAGTGTCAGGAACATTAACGAAGTACCATGTGGCCAGGATCCTGTTCGACCTCCAAAAGCCCATCTCACCTGAATGTCAGCCCAGGACATATTACCAAAAAAAGCAGCCAAAGTCGAGAACTTACGAGCGTCATGGGCACGGGGATAGACTGCAGGCTGGCTGGACCGAATAATCTTGCGGACGACCTGGGAGGCCCGTGCCCTGGAACAGGGAAGAAGGGAAACTGGATCCACTCAAAGCGCGTCCCCTGCCACGGAAGACGCGGCGTGCAAATAACGGGGAAGAGTCGCAACTGGACACAAAACATGATGCACCCCCGGCCGAACTAACCAAGCATCAACAACCCAAAGACCCTTTCGGAAAGCAGCAGACTCATTCTTCGCCAGAAAAGGAGACAGCTGCAAACAAACGAAATGACCACCAGGACATAAGAGCAGAAACCCTTGTGCCAGAGGAGAGCATGAAGCTCTCCGACCCGACCCCCATAGGCCAATACCAACAAGAAAAGAGCCGTCAAAAAACAGTCCTGAACTGAGGGGACCACCACAAACTGAGAGAAGACAAAAAAGAGCACCCGGTCCAACGACCAGGACGACTTTGGCAGGATGGCTCACCTCCGACCTTTGAGCAGGCAGGAGGTGAAACGACGCCCGAAAAAGCTTGCAGAATGGAACAGAAGTGACATCCACTCTGAATACAAGCTGAAGAGGCTCTGGCAGCGCCGCATGATATGAGGCGACAGTATTTGGCATAAGATGATGGTCCTGAAACAACCAAAAGTGAAAGGGCAAAACAACCCGATAAGGAATCAAAGACAACCTACGAAGAGACAAAAAGTGCCGAAAGAACCGCCAGAAAATTTCATACAGCCGTCGAGATGAAACTCGCAGGTAGGACATCATCAACGAAGCCACCTGATCATCATACAAGTGGTGATAAACCCGTGTAAAAAAAAAAAACAGACACGGAGTGTGGAGGAGAAGATCCAACCAGCCATGTACCGTACTGTATCGATCTGCTGAAAGAGGTGAGCCACGGAAGGTCCTAGGGTTCGGACAGTGAGCAGGAAGTGCCTGAACCCAGGGCTAGACCGGTCACCAAGGGACCAACAGAACTACTCTCCCCTGGTAAATCTCGAAGGGAGCCAGGACCCAGAGCAACAACCGAAATAGTAGGAAGAGATACAGGTAACCACACCTCGACCAGTCCAGCCAAAAGGTATTGACCCCGACGGCCTCGTAGTCTGGGAAGAGCACCACATACACTGGAAGTCATTTCAACCATGCTGATGTGAAGAGGTCCACCTCTTCACATTGAGCGAGGGGCTCTGGGAGGCGCTACAACACAGAACCCCCAAAAACCCGCAGAGGATGCCGGCTACACACCTGCCGATGCAAGGCTCCTGGCATCCGTATTCAGCGATCACGGGAGCGGCGGATGGGACATCCCCTTAGGAACCAGAACAGCCGTCGAAGCCAGATCCGACCTGATGGGTAGACCAGCACAGCAAAGTTCAAGCTCCTGCACAGCCACTCGAACAACTATCGTGTGACTCGGGTGCCCTCCAAAAACAGTCATAGGCAGGACCGCAGCCACAACAATGCCGCAGGAGGGAGAGACGAGGACGTGGCCTGAGAGTCCCACACAAGACCCAGCCAAGTCCGAACCTGAGAGGGAACCAAATGCGACTTCCTCCAGTTCATTAAGAACCCAAACCCAGCGAGCTGGGAAAAAAACAAATTCCTGGCGAGCTGACACACGGACTGGCTGGGAGCCCACCAACCACCAGCCAGTCGTCAAAGTAAGCCAGAACTTGAATCCCTAAAAGAAGCAAACGGTTCACCACAACCCGGGTAAGGCGTGTGAACACAGGAGGTGCCAGATTCAAACCGAATGGAAGGCAACAATAGCGATAAGCCTGTTGCCCCACAACAAAACTGAGCCAGTCCTTGAATCCCGGATGAATCGGGACATGCCAATATGCGTCCCGGAGGTCCAGAGACACCATCCAGGCATCCAGCGCCAAAAGCATCCATACCTGAGACAGAGTGGTCATCCGAAAGGAGGAGCAAAAGACCCAGGGGTTTAGACGGGACAAGTCCAGTACGAATCACAGATTTGCACAGTCCCGTTTCGGAATTGAAAACAGGCAGGAAACCCACCTGAGAGATGCTGTCGTTTCCACCACGCCCAAGTGAACCCAGTCCATGATGACCCAACAGAGCGTAGGAAAAAAGGCGTACCCTGCCAGCCCCAATTTCCCCCCCCCCCCTCCCCGAAGGAGGAGGAATGACCCAATGCCACTGCAAGCCAGAGAAAATGACCCAAAATGCCCACGAATCGTGGGACCAGGTGAGAGCAAACAGTGCGAGCCTCCCCCAGGAAGAGGGGAGGCTTGTTCATTGCCCCTTCAACGTTCACTCGTCTATCACCCCGTCAACGTTTACTCGTTCAGTGCCCCATCAATTTTCACTGGAACATTGCCCTGTCAACAGGGTGAACCGCAAAAGGGCCGACGACCTCTACAAGAGCCCAACCAATGCTCAGAGTAATCACTGTGTTGACTAGATGCAGACGGCTCTGCAGGAGGGGTCGGTCTTGAATCTGACACTACTGGCTTACGATGACTGAAGGAACCCCCGAGACCTGGCACAACCATTCCGTGCAGAACCACCACTGCACTCCCCCTCCCCCCCAGAAGAACCAAGTCTGACATAGGTCGGCAATTAGACAAAGCCGCCTGCAGAAAATGCATCACCACAGACTCTGCAAACAACGACGAGATAAAAAGGGGACGAAAATCTAAGAGCCAGGGCCCAAACAGATTTGAAAGAGTAGACAATCACTGCCTGTCGACATGTGAGGCGAGAAGCAAAGAACAGACACTGCCTCCCTCAGAATCTGCACAAACAACTCCAACAAGGCAGCCAATGCCCGAGCTGCCGAAGCAAACACACCGGACACTGGCCCGGATTCCAACTCCTCCACATCCTCCCCGAGCTAGCCCGAAAACAGCTCCAGCAGGGAAAAAGAAGAGTAAGACCAAAGCCAAATGCCCACTGGCACACAAATCCTTGGCCACCAGTGACGCCGAAAGGGAGGGAACCGGCACCTGAAGTTGCACTTGGCCAACATCACCAACATCATCATGCCAGATTTCACACGATACATGTTGAAACAGTTCAGCACTGCAACGTCAATGAGGTGGAAAACAATTTCTTCATCCACTTCACAGATTTTTGCATGAACTCGACAGCACCAACCATCATGTCACATTTATCTACTCTGTAATTGCATAT